TGCAAATTACCTTCAATAGCTGTTGATTTCTTCTTTCGGAGTACAAGAAAAAGAACAAATACAGCAATGACAATGGCTGCAGAAGCAACTGATGCAACTATTGGCACAAGAGTTTTCGTCTTATTTGGTTTTCTACATGAATGAGAGACACAAAGCTTTCGGTTTCCTTCAACACTACAGTAAGAAAGGGCTTGTTCAGGACGACAGTAAATGCACAAATTCAGAATTATATGTGGAAAGATTCTTACAGTAGCTCGAGTCCTTTCCTCTGCAGAGATTGAGGTATTGAACCATTAAGATCGTTCCCGCTTAAGTTTCTGCATACAAAAGATCATTACTGACTCCGAGGTGGAATTCTAAAAAGCATTAGAGAATATGCTTCAGAGAAACTTACATGAGCGACAACGATTTCATGTTGCTTAGAAACTCCGGCACTCCTCCAGTCAAGTTATTATTGGACAAGTCCCTAATGTTAGCAAGAGAGAAATAGAGACACGAAAGTTTTCCAATTTACTCCCAATCCATAATACGAAAGATTTTTTTTGCCTTCAATAAACAATTGGTAATACTTACAGTCTTTCTAGTAGCGTAAGATTTTGAATGGCAGCTGCTATGGTTCCAGCTAAACGACTTGAAGACAAGTTTCTGGTGTAGTGTTAAAAAAATAGAATTCAAAGTGTAAATCATCATGTATTATTAGCAGATCTTGAAGTGTGTGTGTGTGCTCTTGCGTCCTAATAAACTTAAGACTTACAATGAAACAATTCTTGGTGGCAAGGACATCTCCGTGTTGCTGCAGTTTAAAGAGTCCCACCTAAGCTGTTGAGGAAAGCATGGATCGCCTTGCCAATTGATTCTACTCAATCCATAGGTGGCTGTGATGTTCTTCATAGCAACCACTAACATAAATAGAAAAAAAAAAAGATTCTTGAGTACTCTATCGTGTTTGTGATTCAAATCATTACTAACATAAGAAAGCATAGACCTCATATCCATAAGATTGAAAGGAACACACATACCGTCGCTTGCATCTGTTTCAGACTGTGGAAACTCAATAGATGTGTAGACCTCATAAGCGTTGAGTAGAGGAGGCAGAGTTGATCTGTTGGTTCTTGTCAGCTGAAAACTACACTTCCCTTCATCGCAAGTTCTCGGTGACAAGCTTTCAATAGTAGTTATCTTTAACTTTGGGGGAATTACAGGGTCAGAGATAACTTTGCCGTTCCATACCATGTGGAATTCCCTGATTTCATTTGGCTCCAAGTCTTGGATCTCAGCAAAGTGTGCGTACAAGTAATACTGGTTATCAGGGTTTGTTGCAGTCCACTGGATCGACAATGGCGCAGTGGCATTACTAGGCATGGCAGCATTTCTTAGCGCAGCTTTCGGTGGAACATACTTGTTGGAGTTGTTCACTTCAAGAGTGGTGGAAATGTGGGTCCAATTCGTCTGAAAGTACGAAATCCATATACGATCATAGGGTTCTTCTGTGTACCTGGGGGTGTGAACAAAATCATTTTTCACAAACTTGGATCCTTGTAATCTTATCAGAACAATTATCTCAAAATATTTATATAGAAAGTGTAAAGGATAAAGGAGAACATTGCCAGAACATACAGAAGCGAAACAAAGACGCAGAAAAACAAAACAATACAGAGCATAATAAGAAACATTGTTCGAATTAAAGTAGACTTTACCGTATCTGAGATCTTGACTCGCTAAGATAACGCCAGTAGTAAAGTGACAGAGAGCCAGATTTAGTGATATAAGAATCATTTCTCGCATCGGCCGTAATTCCAAAGCGGATATTAGCGGTGTAGTTTCACGAGTCTTGACAAGACAAATCTGCAACGAGTTTGATGTTGGGATGTGTAAGATATCTTCCCGTGTACCATTCACTAGTGTTTCCAAATCTATCGTGGCCCATTGATTAGGTCCAAGATAAAGATCGAACACAGGGCCAATGCCAAGACCATCATAGTTTCCATATACAAAGGAAGCTCTGATCAAATATTTACGCCCCTTGTCCACATTCAGACTGTAGCAGTTCCTTATTCCATCTAGAAAATATCTCAGCGTCATGTACGGCCTCTGCAAGTTAGCCGCCTTATATGCCTGAATTCTACCAACTTTTCCAGTCTGGATGAATGTCGCGTCCGAAGAGAACTGTAATCCAGTTACCTCCTCTTTATATGGAGACAGTTCACCCGCGGGTAGCCCACAATCCAAACTGATGAACCCTGTTTAGTGTTGACAGAAATGGGAAACATTAACCTTTAAAACCAGTGTGCACTTCTGAGACCCAAAGCGTTTGTACAAGAGTTTTTCAAGAAAAACGAAAAAAAAAAAAACGTTTGTAGAAGTAGTAGGAAGGATGTCTAAAGAAAGAAAAATAAGATACTTGATACCTTGTTGGTCTTGAGCTCTAACAATATGAATGATGGCCAAAGTTATTAGCACTAACAGAAGCGCAGGAGAACTCTCCATATTCTTTTAACTCCCAAGAAAAGTGAGGAAAACAATTGGCTAAGCTGTGGAGGATAAATAGTGAATATATAAGCGCCAAACCCAAATCGCACACTAAAAGAAAAGACTTTGACAAGTCAATGTGCTTTCACCATGCAACAAGAAGAGTAGCGAGTAAATAAACAAACCCAAATCATACGGTAAAAAAGAAAAGACTTTGTCAAGTCAATGGAAAAAGGTGAGGGTTAAGAGGACAACAATGCTTCCAAACATCATGAAGGAGCAGACCAACAAGCACGTCACGGAATCAAAGGAGAATCAACTATCTAAGACAAGTCCAGGAAGAAATTTCGTTCTTTATTTGACAGCTCTCATTAACTTGTGACCCTTGTAAGTTTAGCTAAGGTGATCACTGATTAGCCTAACTATTTTGTTTTTGAGGGTCCACAGTCATTTTTCTAAGGTTCTGTAGAGTTCCTGATTTGTGACATTGCTCAGAGAATATGCAGCTTACTTCCAGAGAAAGCTATCAATCACACAGAAAGAACCATGATTGATTTAATGATGCACGAAGAAGTAGTAGACTTTCTAGTGGTCGTTTACTTGGACTGGCTTTAAAATCATAAACCCATAGATATAATTTTGCAAGTTCTCGTTAATTTGTAGTCGTATCAGAGACTTCGAATTTTTGTTAAAAGTAAAAATTGTGCCCATATTACCTTCCGAGTTCCGGCCATGAATCTGTGAGAATTCTGAGTCCCATCTCTTTCAACCGGCGTCGCCCGGCCCAATAGCTGTCGTGGAGAATACGACGATGAAGAATAACCGGCGGTAAAACGGCCATATACGGCAGCGGAACCTCCCGTCGTGAGAATGAGAATGCCTGTCCAGCAGCAACATGCCCGGTGACGAAATGACGGCGATAACATTTGAGAACGCGGTCGACGATTAGAATGCTGGAAACGCAGCCAAAGGAAGCTCGTGTTTTAAAACGCAAACGCTATTATAATTTACAAATAAAGCGGCAAGGCTTATTTTGGGCCGATATTGGATGGCCCAATATATAACTATTTTATCCATAACGAATTCGGATCCAATATCTATCAGAAATCTGTCGTCGTCTTCGTAGTCTACGCGAAGAAGCAGTCACCAGCAACCGAAGTTTAGAGAGAGAGATAGAGGAGAGATTTCCCCGGAGGACCCAAAGTGAGAGAGAGGAGAGATGAGATTGTTCGATCCATGGCCAGTGTTCTTCAAGAGGGAGTGGAAACGTTGTTGGCCGTTTCTCACTGGATTCGCCGTAACCGGCGTCCTCATCACCAAGCTCACGGCTGGACTCACCGGTAAGTTGCTCAGATCTGACCGATCTTCTATGGAAATGACAGAATTAATCCTCAATCGATCCGTATTTGTGGAAACAGATCGGATTTATGATATATCCGAGGCTTTCTTATCTATTGTGTTTCTCGTGGTTGATTGTTAGATCGATTGTGGGAACCCTAATTTATGTAAATGTTTATCTAATTAATTTGCAGAGGAAGACGCCAAGAACTCCAAGTTCGTCCAACAACACAGGCGGTAACAATCTTACCCTTTCGATCAATCATTTGTATCACATTTCATACTTTTTGATGTTTTAGTGTTCATTTACGATTTGGGAAATGATTTAGAAACTGAATGTGATTTCTCAGCATCTGTTTATTGAATCACTTTTAGTCCCCCACATGATTCAGAATTCTTATAGTCATATTGTAATCCTCATCAATGATTTGGTCCTGTGAAGTGACTATCAACTTAAACTCTGAAGTATCATTTTTTCCCAAATCTCAATGCCTGTTGTTTAAACTCTCTGCATCTGCTTCTCGAGTCAAAATTGTTCTGTATATGGTTTTGCTTGATGCATTATGAGACATGCGTGAATTTTCCAACTTCAGTCAGATTATCTAATCTAAGGTGCTTGATCAGGCTCATTCTCTTAAGTCTAAACCCTTTTATTATTACAAAAGTATCTATTTGAATCATAATATATACACAGGTTTTGCTAAACACTAACCATCCTATGCACTTGTTCATGATTGTTTCCAATTTCAGGTGATCTACTAATGTAGAAGCTGAGAAAGAAGAGAAGGTCTCTATGAAAACTATTGCGAGTGCTTCGGCTTTCAAGCCTATTTAATAACCTAAAAGAGAGAATTCTAGATACTGCCCATCTCTCCTTTCCTTTTCATCTTTTTGTTTTTTCACAACTTTTGATCAGTGCAAATTCTACTTTTGTTGATCTAATATTTTTGAAATAAATTGATTCCTCTCTTACTCTCTGTTCCCATACGTTAAAATAAGTCTTACAGTTGTGAATGATTTGGATACACAAACAAGCTTTTTGGTTCCTGTGTTGAATCGAATGTGGATCGTTTACAAATTACCATCCATTAGTATCAATCAAATCTCATTACAATCAAGAGTTAAGCTAAAATCTTACTACTTTTCATCATAGTGTAGCTCGTAGTAAAATAGTTTTTTTGAGACAAATTAAGCTAACGAATCGAGTCCAAGAAACGTGCAATGTTCCTGCTTTCTTGAAACCCACGCAAGAAATTGAGAAAAGGCGTGAGCTTATGCACCAAACCCCAAAACAGATCAGCCCTAACCATAACCTCCTCCTGCGTGACTCTCAGTGCCTTGCTCACCACGAAATTCCCAAATTGACTCCTCGCCAGCCTCAACAACCCGTCTCCTTCGCACCCCAGAAGCTCTTCCACCACCATAACCCTCGACGCCTCCGTCTTCAAAAGCTTCTCCACGATGAAGCTCCCCTGCTTCTGAAACGACAGCTCGACGAAATGGCCACGGAGTCTGACCGCAATGTCACACGTGAAAGACGAGTTGTTCAGATTAAGCACGTGCTGGACCACAAAGTTCCCATAAGCATCGAAGCTTAGCGAGAGAGCGTTGAGCACGATTATGGCAATGAGTTGGTTTCTGCAATAACACTCGCCGGCGTCGTCTATGAGGAAGTTGATCGCGATGCAGCCGTTTCCTTGCGGGTCACGCGCCACGTCAACCGCGTGTTGGTGAATGCGTATCCACATTGCCATTTTCTTCTCCTGGCTGAAACCTCGTAGCCCTCCGATCACGACGGCGAACGCGTCCTTATCGGTCATGACGTCGACGAAGCGGCGCGAGATGGAGGCGAGGAAGAAGTTGTCGGCGTCGTCGGATCTTCCGAAGAGCTTGTTCAGGCGTTTGCTGCCGTTCTTGTTCGCTGCGATCTGCATGAAGTAGATATCGGAATATAACGTCAGCATCCAGGCGAGCTTTGCAAGATCGCTTCCGTGTAGCCTTGAGATCATATCTCTTAAAGCAGCTTCTTCTTCGCTGCTGGTCATTAGGTTGAACAGAGAATCCAAACACGCGTCAATTTGTTGACGTGTTAAAGGGGCTAAGGAGCGTAATGAGTCGGTTAAAGATCGTATCTCTTGAGCAAGATTTCTTGGTGCGTTGAATCGCGGAGGAGGATTTAAGGTGACGGCGGAGCGAAATGAGCCGGTTAAAGATTGAATCTCTCCTGGTGCGGTGGGTCGGGGAGGAGGAACCACGGGATTCACTTGTTCGAGGGAGACTCTTGCGCCGACGATGGGGATTTGACGTGGAGGAGGAGGAGGAGGAAACGCCGGATTCTCTTGTGGGAGGGAGATCATTAAGCTGCCGATGAGAATTTCACGTGGAGGAGAAGGAACCGCCGGATTCTCTTGCTCGGTGGAGACTCTTGCGCCGTCGTTTGCCATTGCAAATACGTTAACTCTACGAAAACTGAATTACTCTCTCTCAGAATTATAGAGGGTTTCTGTTATTTGATCGCAGAGAATGAGAAACTGTGGAGTGATGAAAGTGATGATGCCTATTTATAGGATCAGTATATGAAATATATGGCGACGTCGCTATAGTATACTTTTTCTTTTTCGTTTTATATATAATATTTTATTATGAATTTATGGTTAGCTTATATAGTATTGTTTTTCAAAGGTTAGGTTATATAATTAATACATATTTTACTCATTTCCCCTTTTACAGTTTACGCACCATTTGTTGATCCAATCTTTTCCCCCATATGATTGAAATAAATTGATTCCTCTATGTCTGTTCAATATACGTTAAAATATATTGTATCTTGAATCCACAAAACACTTAATCCTACGGATTACTGATTCACTTGAAAATTGAAATATAGCTTGTGCCGTATTTTGTTAAATAAAAAATGGAACAGTTTATTCAGAAACGTAATTAATCAAGAACTCGGACGTTTTGTGAGACTCCACGATTGTGGCAAACAGGAAATGTTGTGTTGAATCGAATGTGGATCGTCGACCATCATCAGTGACAAAATCGCACTACAAGCAAGAGCTAACTAAAAAAGCAACCATAAAATCTGACAACTTTCATCATCTATATAATATAACTAGCTTGAGGCAAAGCTAAACAACTAATCGATCCAAATAGACTCCACGATTTCCGCAATCTTCTTGCTTTCTTTAAATCCACGCAAGCAAGGGAGCAAAGGCACGAGCTGACTCACCAAACCCCAAAACAGATCAGCCCTAACTCTGCGCGTGACTCTCAGTGCCTTGCTCACCACGAAATTCCCGTACCCACTCCTCGCCAGCCTCAGCAACATGTCTTCACCGCACCCCAAAAGCTCTGCTAACACCATATAGCTCGAGCCATCCGTCTCCAGAAGCTTCTCCACGATGTAGCTCCCGTTCTTCTTAAACGACAGGTCAACGAAATAGCCCTGGAGGCTAACCGCAGTGTTAAACGTGAGACGCAAGTCATTCAGTTTAAGCACGTGTTGCACCACATGGTTCCCACAAAAATCGTAGCTTAGCCTGAGAGCGTTGGACGTGATTATGTCAAGGAGGTGGTTTACGTGGTAAGAATCTCCCGCGCCGGTTATGATTTCCCTGAGCGCGATGTAGCTGTGTCGGGAACAAGCAAGCTCAATGGCGTGGTGGTGAATGTGGCGCCACATGGCCGTTTTCTTCTCTTGGCTGAAAACTCGCATCCCTCGAAGCGCAACGTGGAACGCGTGTTCGTCGGTCATGACGTGGAAGAAACGGCGCACGATGTAGGCGAAGAAATGTGTGTCCGCGTCGCCTGATTTTCCGAGGAGCTCCTGTAGGCGTTTGCAACCGTTCTCGTTTCTTGCGATCTTCAAGAAGCCGGAGTCGGAGTATGACGTCAGCAACGAGGCCATCTTGCCGAGATCGTTTCCGTCTAACCTTGAGATCATGTCTCTGAAAGCAGCCGCTTCTTCGTCTTCTTCGCTGCTGGTCATTAAGTTGAAGAGCGAGAGCAAACACGCGTCCGTTTCTTGACGAGTCAAGGCGTCGGCGGAGCGAAATGAGTTGGTTAAAGATTGGATCTCTTGAGCAAGATTGGTTTCTCTTCGTGCGGTGGATTGCGGAGGATGACCTGCTATGGGGATTTGACGTTGAGGAGGAACCGCCGGATTCTCGTGTTTGATGGGGACTCTGAAGCCGCCGATTAGAATTTCACGTGCAGGAGAAGGAGGAGGAGGAACCGCCGGGTTCTCTTGTGGGACGGAGACTCTTGCGCCGCCGTTTGCCGCCATTGCAATACGTTAACGTTAACTCTACGGAATTGAATTACTCTCTCTCTCTCTCTCTCTGGGTTTTTGTTGTGTGATTGTAGAGAATGAGAAACTGAACATCTTCGGAGTGATGATGCCTATTTATAGGGGGGAAAAAACAAATTATAGTTTTGATTGGCTTATAGTTTTTTTTTTTTTTTTTTTTTAAAGGTTAGGTTGATATTTCCACTGATTTCCCCCTTTATAATTTACGTAGGAGAATTGTAATTTTTTAGTATTTTTACTAGTACGTATCTTTGTATGTAAATATATATAAATTCCCATTTCCACCCATCATCTCTCTTTGTTTAGTCTCTGTTCTTTTTTTTATGTTCTTGATTAAACTAACTTAATTATGGTTTTGATGAATTAAGTTAGTCCTACACTTCATTCAGATTTCTTAGAATTTTTGTCATATAATAATTGCAATTCATGATCATGATAGCTGGTTTTCTTCTATAGCCTATAGAAAAGATGTTGTATAAAGTGAAAATATTAACTTGATTCTTGACATTTTTTCTCTTTTTTTTTTGCTAGAAATATTATGTCTCGACTTGCAAGCATGTTTGCTTTCTCTCTGCATCTGTTACTTGAGCCATAAATTTTGGCCCTGTAGATAGTAATTAATATCTTGATTCATTATGAGCCATACAAGAATCAAAGTTCCTTGACGCATCATTTCTTAGCCAGAGAGCAATGGATGGCTTATTCAGAAACTCAATCTATTGAAAATTTGTTTGGTTAATAGAAAAACCGAATGTGGCAATGTTGTGTTGAATCGAATGTGGATCGTTTACCATCATTAGTGACAAATCACAATACAAGAAAGAGTTAAACTAAAAGCAACCATAAAATCTGATAACTTTCATCATCTATAAACTGTAACAAAACAGAATCGGGGATAAACTAGTTTTTGAGGCAAAGCTAACAAACGGACTCCAAGATTTCTGCAATGTTCCTGCTTTCTTGACACCCACGCAAGATATGGAGAGAAGGCATGAGCTTATGCACCAAACCCCAAAACAGATCAGCCCTAATCATCTGCGTGACACTCAGTGCCTTAACCACCACGGAATTCCCGTGAAAACCCCTCGTCATCCTCAACAAACTGTCAATTTCACACTCCAAAAGCTCTGCTACCACCATAACACTCGAACAATCATGAGTCTCCAAAAGCTTCTCCACGATGTAGCTCCCGTACTTCAGAAACGACAGCTCAACGAAACGGCCTTGGAGTCTAACCGCAATGTTATACGTGTGACGCAAGTCATTCAGATCAAGCACGTGCTGCACCACAAAGTTCCCATAAGCGTCGTAGCTTAGCGAGAGAGCGTTGAGCACGACCATGCCAATGAGGTAGTTTCTCCAGTAAGAATTGTCCGAGACGGTTATGATTGCCTTGAGCGCGATGCAGCCGCGTTGGTCACACGCCAGGTCAAGCGCGTGGTGGTGAACGTGGCTCCACATTTCTATTTTCTTCTCCTGGCTGAAAACTCGCATCCCTTGAACCGCAACGCAGTACGCGTGTCTATCGGTCATGACGTCGAAGAAGCGGCGCAAGATAGAGCCGAGGAAACAGGCGTCCACGTCGTGCGATTTCCCGAGAAGCTCCTGTAGGCTGTTGCAACCGTTCTTGTCTCTTGCGATCTTCAAGAAGTAGGAGTCGGAGTATGACGTCATCAACGAGGCCATCTTTAGAAGCGCTCTTCGGTTTAACCTTGAGATCATATCTTTAAACGGAGAAGAACCTTCTTCATCTTCGTCGCTGCTAGTCATTAAGTTGAACAGCGATCGAAAACACATCTCCCTTTCTTGACGAGTGAAGGCGTTGGCGGAGCGAAATGAGTCGATTAAAGATTCGATCTCTCTTGGTGCGGTAGTGTATCGCGGAGGAGGATTGGCGTTGGCGACGGGGCTTTGACGTGGAGGAGGAACCGCCGGATTCTCTTGTGGGATGGAGAGTCTTGCGCCGCCGTTTGCCATATTGCAATACGTTAACTCTACGGAACTGAATTTCTCTCTCTCTCTCTCTCTCTCTCTCTCTCTCTCTCTATGGGAATTATAAATGTTTTTTTGTTGTGTGATTGCAGAGAATGAGAAACTGTTCACATCTGTGGAGTGATTGTGATACCTATTTATAGGAATGTTAAATGTAAATGGCGACGTCGCTGGAGTGTACTTTTTATTTTTCTTTTTTTTTTGAATTTAATGTAAAATTCATTCAAAAACCAAACTTTTGTACATCAAGTGTGACCAATGTTTTGAAAAGAAAAAGAGTTACAAATGGGTACTAGACTTAACATCTGGTTCCAAACCAAGTTTGGAGAGCTTCTTCGTATTTGTGATCCCTCGTGTTTCGAATTGTTTGAATGCGGTTCCTGACAGTTTTATCGATGGTGTTGATTAGCTGATTTGGAGGTGTTGGTTGCTCTCCATGTCTTCGAGCATTCCTCTCTCTCCATATGCTGTGTAATGTCGCTTGGAACACATATCTGGCAAGGAAAAGCCTGATACGATCTTGGCTTTTATCAGAGATAATGGTGACTAGATCTGCCCAGATCGTCGTGTAGCGCAGTCCCAATAGACCTTTGCTGAGTGCACTCCAAATCTCAGCCGAGTATCTACATGAGAAGAAGAGGTGATCTCTCGTTTCCAGTGGGTCTTGGCAGAGAATGCATGAGACGTTCTGACGTGGGCTCCAAGTCTGCATTCGATCGCCCGTTTGAGAGGCGGTTATGAATCGCTAGCCAAACACAGAAAGAGTATTTTGGCGTTTCATGGCGGAACCAGACGGCTCCATGCTAACTATTCTCCACTCCTGCACTTCTGATGAGCATCCAAGTCCTCTTGGAGCTAAATACAGATTTGTAGTCGTTGCCTTATTGTTTCCAAAGGGAACATCCTCTCTTACATCCGCTGCTCGGGCTCGGTATGTGTTGAGTAGGGTTTCAATATGGTTTAGGTTTTCTGAGCGATGATGCCTTCGTCTTCTCATCCCCAGAGCCTCTGCTACTGTCGCATCACGAGCCAAACCCATGTCTATGAAGCCTCTCTCCCCTGTCACGTTGATTAACGGACCCATGTGAGACCATGTGTCGAACCAGAAAGATGTCTGAGACCCGTTTCTCACCTCCATTTTAAAAAATCTCCTTGCCTTATCACGATATTTTAATAACTTTCTCCACATCCAAGAACCCGTACTTGTACTTAGCTTCAGCGACCAGAAAGTTTCGTGTTGGATTAGATACGCCTTTATCCAATTGACCCATAATGAGTTTTGCGACGAAAGAATCCTCCATACCATCTTGAAACAGCTTACTGCGTTTGCTTCTTTCAGCCGTCGTAGCCCTAAACCTCCTTCTCGTTTTGGCTTACAAACATCATGCCACGCTATCTTTGCTTTCTTGGCGTTAAGAGATGGTCCTGACCACAAGAAGGCAGAGCAGAGGCTCTCTATTTCCTCGAGACATTCAGTCGGAAGGCGGAAAGCCGATAGCCAAAAGTTCGTCAAACTCTGGATGACTGAGGAGATTAATTGCAGTCTACCTGCAAAGGATAATAACCGAGCCGTCCAGGAGGTAATCTCTTGCGGATCTTTTCTACCAGAGGGAGGAAATCGTTCCTGGTCATACACTTGGTGAGCAAAGGCAGACCAAGGTAGCGCACCGGTAATTGGCCTGAGGTGAATGGAAACAGAGTAGCCATGCTCTCTCGGACTTGTGGTGAGACACCAGCAAAGTAGATCGTTGATTTTTCAAGACTGATCTTCAAACCAGAGAACCTTGCAAAATCATCAAACAACTTGATTATACCTTCAACAGATCTGATTTTTCCGTCTGTTAACACCATGATGTCATCAGCGAAGCTCAAATGAGTTAAACCTATGTTTTGACAACGAGGGTGATAGCCAATGTCGTTTGCACCCGCGGCTCTGTCCAGAAGTTTGGATAGTACATTCATACTAATCACAAATAGATAGGGAGAGAGAGAGCATCCTTGTCGCAATCCCCGCGTACTTCGAAAAAAACCAGCCAGTTCCCCATTCACCTGAACCGAGAAGGAGGCAGTGGAAATGCAGAGATTTATCCAATGAATAAATTGTGCCGGGAGATTCATTGCTGAGAGAGTGTTGAGCAAGAAAGGCCACTGAACCGAATCAAACGCCTTGGAGATATCGATCTTTATTGCACATCTTGAGGATATCGAATCTTTGTGGTAGTCCTTTACCAGCTCTGTTGCAAGGAGTAAGTTCTCAGCAAGCAGTCGATCTTTGATAAAAGCATATTGGTTCAGTGCAATCAGATTGGATAAGATCCCTTTCAAACGGTTTGCGATGATCTTTGATATTACCTTATAGATAACATTGCAACATGAGATTGGTCGGTAATCTTTCATGCTCTTAGCCTCTGTTGTCTTTGGTATGAGAGCCAAAATTGTAGTGTTGAGCCCTTTCGGTAGGAAACCTTTGGCGAAAAAAGATTGGATCGCAGTGATGAATTCGGAGCCAACGAGGTAGCCCTGGGCATTTCGGGACGGGAATCCCGTTCCCACCCTTACCCGCTTAAAATTTCCCGAATTTTTCGGGAATGGGAATTTGCATTTTCCCGTTTGGGAACATTTATTTTATTCAAACAGGGTAAGGGAAGGGTAAGGGATTTCCCGATTTTCCCGTTTATAAAATAAAAAATTGAAAATTAGATATTTTTTCTTAAATATCCCTATTTTTCCCATATTTTCCCGAATTTTCCCATAATTTTCTGTATTTTCTCATATTTTCCCGTATTTTTCCATATTTTCCCGTATTTTTCCCGTACTTTCCCATATATCTTCAATTTTCCCGATTTATTAAGACTTCGGGTATTATTTTTTGATTCCCAAAATTCCCATTCCCTTCCCATTCCCGTGGTTTCCCGTCCCGTTATAATAAGGGAATGCTTCGGGAATCATATTTGGTTTCCCGAATTTCCCATTCCCGTCCCATACCCGTCAATTCCCGTCCCAAAACCCGAAATGCCCAGGGGACCAAGCCTTCTTAAAGAACTCTGTCGTGAAACCATCTGGACCAGGCGATTTGTCATTTGGCATTGCAAATAACACTCCCTTGATTTCCTCTGCACTAACGACTCGAACTAGCATAGCGTGGTCCTCATCTCTACACCGGGGTAAGAGATCTTGAAGACTATCGATGGTGATGCCCTCATAGTCTGCCGGTGTATATTGTAAAAATTCCCTGAAAAAACCCTCAGCTTCGTGTTTTATGGCATCTCCACTAGTCGCTGTTTGGCCATCACGACACAAGATCTCTCGGATCGTATTGTGAGCCCGTCTCTCCTCAATTCCCTTGTGAAAATATTTGTTGTTTCTGTCTCCTACCTTTAGCCAGTGAAGTTTTGATTTCTGCTTCAGGTATTTCTCCTCAACGACTGAAATATTTTCCCATCTTCGGAAAGCTATCTTTTCCGCCTCCATGTTTTGACTCGTAGGGTTAAGCAAACTCTGTTCTTGTGCAATACAGAGCTCTTCATGTGCTTCTTTAGCTTTCTTTGATAAGTTTCCCATCTTCTCCTTAGCCAGAGTGCGAATCAATGGCTTTAAGCCTTTCAGCTTTTTTGTAAACCGATGCATTGCCGACGTAGACAAGAAAATCGGAGTTGTGGACTTCCAATATTCATCCACTACCGGTAGAAAACTATCCAGTTCAGCAACAACATTCACGAACTTGAAGGGTTTTCTGGCTGGAGCTATCTCCAAGGTTAAGTGGATTCGACAGCGGAGGTGGTCTGAGATCCCGCCGGCTTCAAAGACACTATAGGACAGAGGGAAAGAGCGAGGCCAGTGCTCATTCATAAGAACTCTATCCAATTTCTTAGAGATTAGACCATGTTCCCTCTTATTACTCCAAGTGAACAAGGGACCATGGGAGGCCATGTCTGAAAGAGAACAGTCTCTCACTAAGTCCTGGAAATCTCTCATACCAGTAGTTGTACTTGGATCATTTTCGAAACTTGAGTGCTCCTCCCCATCAAGAATCTCATTAAAGTCTCCAAAAATCAACCACGGCTTATTCCGAAGAATGGGCGAGTCGTAATGATCCCGAATGTCACTCCAAAGTTCTTTACGCTCGTCCACAAAGTTTGAGGCGTAAACGAATGAGCAGAAAAACTCGTCATCGTTCCCTTCGATCTTGATCGAGCAAGTGATCATCTGCCCACTCTTAAAGAAAGGTGTAACTCGAACATTGCTTCTCCACACCACCCATATACGACCCAAATGGCTAAACTCATAATTCATTATAACAGAATAATCATCCAAAACTGAAGGCGCAAGCTTCGGAGCTCTAGTCTCCTTCACCTTCGTCTCCAACAAGCAACCAAACTGAAAAGATCTACTACGCACCCAATTTCTTATGACAGAATGTTTTTCAGATTTATTAAGACCGCGCACATTCCAAAAGAAACCCGACATAGATTAGTGTTTTTTCTGCGGAACCCTTTTCCCCAATTTACCAAGCTTTGTTGCTTTGGTTGTTGGTTCTCCTGGTTCCTTCAGAAACTTGTGTGACGACTTTGAGTGACGGGGAAGAGGAGGTCGCGTAACTACCTCTGGCTTCTCTAGTTTCTCAGTCCTTTTTGTTTTGACTGTTCCATCTATTTCTCCATCCTCCAACTCCTCTTCTTCCTCTTTCTCCGATTGCTTGTCATCCTCAACATCAGTATCCTCTTCTTCTACCTTCCCCTCTGCAGACAAAACAAGAAACTTTGATGGTGAAACCAATATCTCATCTTTATCTCCTGCCCCCGTCTTTGCCATACGCCTCCCAATTTTCGTGGGTGAGTTCCAGTCTTCCTCTACAGCCTCTGTTGCAGTGTCTCTGCTATCCTCTATTTGCTCTGTCTCTTGTTCATCAACAACATCATTCCCCTGTTCTGAAGCCACTGTCTGAGATTCATCATGTTGAGTTGCAGACTCCACTACTGAGTTTACCCCGTCGATGGATTTTGGTGGTGAGAAACTTTTTATTTTTCGTTTTAGAGATTATATGTATTTCATCACTTTTAAATATTTCGCTCATTTTCCCTTTATATTTCACGTTAATTAGGAGACAATTGCAGATGCATCGCTAGATGGATTATTATAAATCATGTTTTTTATAAGAAAAATAAAAAGATATAACAAATTGACTATAAGTATTTAACAAAAAAAAAAATTGACGATAAGTTGACTAGGAATATTATATAAGTTGACTAGTAATATTAGATAAGTTGACTATTAAGTGATCACTATCATAGCCGCCAAAAACCAACAAAAGGAAACCTGATTGATTGTTTTGTCACGTAAAATTCGCTAAGCCTATTCCTTATTAGGAGTGAGTTCACTGTACGTAAGCCTATTACTTAATCATGCAGATATTATCTGGATTTGTTGCCGATAATGAAAAGATTCCCTGTATTATCGATTTATCTTGATTAAAGATTCTCCTATATCTTAAAATCTAGTAAGGTTTCACAGATTCACTAGCCTCCGAGAGCATTGTCCCCAAGAAACCTATTCATTCTTAACCATCATCCCCAAGGTCTTGCAAAACAACAACAAAAAAAGGTTTTGTAAGCTGAAGAAAACCCTACAGAACCTAAACCATCGCCAAGGTTTTGTAAGCTGAGGAGAAACGAGAAGATGGCGGAATACTACGACGTAGACGAAGGGATTCACTTCGATCCGACGGAGAACCAACTCATCAAGGATTATCTTTCTCCCAAGATAAACCAAGTCAAACAGTTTGACTTTATACCGGACATGGACGTTTACGCCACCGAGCCATGGTTGCTTAAGCATAACATGGATCCTCTTTTCAAAAAGTACGAGTGGTACTACTTCGTGACAAGGACTCAAGTCTCTGAGTCTGAGGAGAACATCGGTCGTGGTAAGAAGGCGAAGCGGAAGATCATCGGAGACAACGGGACGTGGAAGGCAAACGCTAAAGATAAGATCCTGGATGAGGAGACAGGGAAAATCATTGGTGAAAAGCAAACCCTAACTTTCATTAAAAGCAACAACAACAACAACAACAACAACAACAAGAAGCAGAAGAGAGAAGACGGCACTAGTGCTACTGCTCCCGGCAGCGACAGCAGCTGGACTATGACGGAGTATATGCTTGTGGAAGAAGATAAGTTTCAAGGAACAGTCCTTTGCAAGATTCACGAGATCAAGAAGTCCAAGGACGATCATCATGAAGCTTCTGCTTCTACTTATTATCATAGTCACTGGGCTTCTTCATCCTCGGGGAAGCAGCCGATCAATAATGATCGCGAGTCTGTTCTAGCTTCTTCCTTGGAGCAGCAACAGCCACAAGCGTGCAGTGTTAATGTTCCAGCAACAGCCACCGGATCTCAGAGTTCTTTAACTTGTTCTGTTGCGGAAACAGCAAGAATCAGCGAGCACAGTGAAGAAGGAACCGTGATTAATGAGGTAGACGCGTCCTCGATGAACGAGGTAGTTCCAGAAACATCAACAGAGAATGGTGAAACCAAGGAGGTGACACAAGATGCAGAAGAAGATTGGATTGAAGATTACATGAACAAATACGCGACAGGGGGATTAGAAGCTTTTTCCATCAAGGCTTCTTAGAGTTAACTACTTTTTAGTCGTAGTGGACATGGCAATAGCTTCGGTCAAGACTAGATTTGAGCACAAGGTTATATTTAATAGTATGATCAATAAGAAGGGTTTCTCCGCATTGTTAAATGAGTCATAATAAGTCCTACACTTCATTCAGATTTCTTAGAATTAATGTAATTGCAATTCACGATCTGATAGCTGGTTTGCTTCTATAGCCTATGGAAAATATATATGTTGTGTATAAAGTGAAAATATCAACTTGATTATGTCTTGACCTTTTTTCTCTCTCTTTTTTTGGCTAGAAATATTATGTCTTGACTTGCAAGCAATGTTTGCTTTCTCTCTGCATCTGTTACTTAGCCTGAGCCATTAATTTTGGCCCTGTAGATAGTAATTACTTTCTTGATTAATTATGAGCCATACAAGAATCAAAGTTCCTTGACGCATCATTGCTTAGCCAGAGAGCAATGGATAGCTTATTCAGAAACGCAATTAATTAAAAACTTTGTTTGGTTAATAGAAAAAACGAATGTGGAAATGTTGTGTTGAATCGAATGTGGATCGTTTACATTGACCAATGGCATTACAAGCAAGAGTTAAACTAAAAGGCAGCAACCACAAAATCTGACAACTTTCATCATCTATATACCGCAGCAAAATGGAATCAGGGATTAACTAGTTTTTGAGGCAAAGCTAACAAACGGACTCCAAGTATTTAACCAGAAAAAAAATTGACGATAAGTTGACTATTAAGTGATCACTATCATAGCCGCCAAAAACCAACAAAAGGAAAACCTGATGATTGTTTGTCACGTATAATTCGCTAAGCCTATTCCTTATTAGGAGTGAGTTCACTGTACGTAAAGCCTAATACTTAATTATGCAGATATTATATATCTGGATTTGTTGCCGATAATAAAAAGATTCCCTGTAATATCGGTTTATCTTGATTAAAATCTAGATCTAGGTTGGTTTACACAGATCTATATAAATATATAAATTTACAAGCCTCCGAGAGCATTGTCCCCAAGAAACCTATTCCTTCTTAACCATCATCCCCAAAGTCTTGTAACCTTTTCTGTAAGCTACGTTAGCAAACAACAAAAAAAAAAGGTTTTGTAAGCTGAAGGAAACCCTACAGAACCTAAACCATCACCAAGGTTTTGTGAGCTGAGGAGAGACGAAAAGATGGCAGAATACTACGACGTAGACTTTGGGATTCACTTCGATCCGACGGAGAACCAACTCATCAAAGATTATCTTTCTCCCAAGATAAACCAAGGCAAACAGTTTGACTTTATACCGGACATGGACGTTTACGCCACCGAACCATGGTTGCTTAAGCATAACATGGATCCTCTTTTCAAAAAGTACGAGTGGTACTACTTCGTGACAAGGACTCAAGTCTCTGAGTCTGAGGAGAACATCGGTCGTGGTAAGAAGGCGAAGCGGAAGATCATCGGAGACAACGGGACGTGGAAGGCAAACGCTAAAGAAAAGATCCTGGACGAGGAGACAGGGGAAATCATTGGTGAGAAGCAAACCCTAACTTTCATTAAAAGCAACAACAACAGCAACAACAACAACAACAAGCAGAAGAGAGAAGACGGCACTAGTGCTACTGTTCCCGGCATCGACAGCAGCTGGACTATGACAGAGTATATGCTTGTGGAAGAAGATAAGTTTCAAGGAACAGTCCTGTGCAAGATAAACGAGATCAAAAAGTCCAAGGACGATCATCATGAAGCTTCTGCTTCTACTTATTATCATAGTCGTTGGGCTTCTTCTTCCTCGGGGAAGCAGCCGATCAATGATGATCGTGAGTCTGTTCTAGCTTCTCCCTTGGAGCAGCAACAACCACTATCATGCAGTGTTAATGTTCCAGAGATTCCTCACACAGGATCTCAGAGTTCTTTAACTTGTGATGTTGCGGAAACATCAAGAAACAGAGAGCACAGTGACGAAGGAAACGTGATTAATCAGGTAGACATGTCCTCGAAGAACGAGGTAGTTCCAGAAAGATCATCAGAGAATGATGAAACCAATGAGGTGACACAGGGTGCAGAAGAAGATTGGCTTGGAGATTACATGAACAAATACACGACAAAGGGATTAGAAGCTTTTTCCATCAACGTCACGGATCAATAAGAAGCTACCTAGTTTTTAGTCGTAGTGGACATGGCAATAGCTTCGGTCAAGACTAGATTTGAGCAAATGGTTATTTTTAATAGTATTTTTGGGGTTTTTATTTGATTCAAAGAAATTAAAGGTATTGGGTGAAAGTGAACTACTAGCAGCACATTGCACTAAATTTTTATAATACGTTTTCCCATGGTAGTTCAGATGTTGATTTAAATGATATTTATTCTGAATTAAGATTGCTGTGGAACCTATTGAAACTCCTTTTGTTGAAAATGTGGGCTGTTATTAAAATGTTTCAATTGCTTATCGAATTCTTTTAACTACTCATGTGACTGTAGCCTCAGCGGAGAGAAGTTTTTCCAAAACTAAAATTGCTGAAAGATTATTTAAGATCTTCAATGTCTCAAGAAAGGTTGGCTGGTTTAGCTATTTTATGAATTGAAAAAGACAATATTAGAGAGCATTGATTTTGAAAGTGTCATTCATGATTTTGCATCTAGTAAAGCTAGAACAAAACGGTTTTTATGATTGCATTTATCTTTTTGGGATGACTACGGGTTTCTCTTTCTTTTCAGATTCACGAAGACATAAGAAGACACATGTTATTGTGTGAAGAGTTTTGTGGGTTAGAGCTGATTTCAAAGAAAGCTAGGAAAAAGGAAAGATGAGCAAAGAATTCTGTTTTTTTTTTTTTTTGTGTGATTGTAACTCTGTTTTTTAGAACCATAACTGTAAAACTTTTTTTTTATAGTTCATAAACGCAATATATTTTTGTTTGGTGTTTGTTTTTGATAAATGACATTTTTAATATTTTGGTATTAGTTACAATGGTTATATATTACAGAATTTTTATATGTTGAGAGGCCTGTTTTTAAACTTTGCACATAGCTAGGCTTACGAAATCTTTGAGTCAGCTGTGCAAAAAACACCAATATCCGCTCATTCTCAATTGAATGTTTCTCCTGGTCCTCCTGGAGATTGGCTTGGAGATTACTCGATGATGTTTCCGTCGACGTCAAGGATCAAGAAGCGCCAATATCCGCTCCTTC